AATGAAGGACTGGTGGTTGAATCTTCTCACAATGATATGAATAGCGCTAATGTTTCCATTGAATTTCGCACAGCCTTGCATTCCCAATAGGTGTTCTTATTCGCACCCTCAGCGGGAGTCGAACCATGATAGCCAGTTTGTAATATCAAAACTTTAACCACTGCGCCACATTCCCATGAGTGTCCTTTGGTCACATGTGAGATGCGAATTTCAAGGAAGGCCAAACATTTTCTGATATATCACATTTTTTGATGGGATTAACGATGAAGCAAAGTTATATGGCAACCGACTACGTTACTTAAGAGAGTCCCACTAAAGAATGTGATATGGGAAAATGCTTGGTCTTAACTGAAATCCGCATCTGACTTGAGACCAAAGGGCAGTCGTGGCAATGTGGCATAGTGGTTAGTGTGTCGAGATTACACTCTGCACTGTCATGGTTCGACTTCCGCTGGTGGAGTGCGATGTCGAAACTGCAGTCAAGCCTGGCTGAAAACGCCTTTGAATTTTCTCACAATTATATGAGTAGTCCTTGTTTTTCACAAGGCATTCTCATATAGAATAGATGACTGAACCTCGCACAGGTCTTATCTATACTTCCAGTGGGACTCGAGCCCTGGTAAGGCAGTCTATAATCTCGACACATTAACCACTATGTTACACTGCTACAAGTACCCTAGTGTCACAGTGCACACGTAAGACCTATTCAACGTCTAAACTGCAGTTAACCCTGGATAATAACTTTCATGAGACAAGGCTGCGTCAAATTCATTGGAAACCTAGGGCCTACTCATATCATTATTGGAAACTTCAACGATCAGTTTTTCATTACCGTATCCGAACTAGAGTGAATACATCTCATATATTAGTCCCAACTTACTCCAAGTGGTCTAATTTTTCATTCAAGAAATAAGTTTATTCTATTAATCATGATAAAACTTTAGTAATACTAGCTATTAGATGCACAAAATTATGTTATACTGTATAGCATATTGTGATTATCTATTCTTCATTGTAAAAAAAGCACTAATTAAGTGTATTTTCTACTTATTTATTATATATATATATATATATATATGCTTATTTGTGTAAAATTGTGAATCTATTCTTACCTTTATCCTGAAACTAATAAC